CATAGATCGATAGACCTCAGTGAAGTACTAAATACCCTAAAAGGATTCGGGCCCATGACTCTTGAAGACCCGGTTCTCTGGAAATCCAGTTTTTCAGAAATTCTAAAAAATGACCAAAACCTTTCTTAATGAGTTAGGATTGTAGCCCGCAAATTGCTGATTAAAATGACACATCCCCCAGTTCTACACAACCTTTCTTTGCAAAGTTATAGAATTTACAAGAAAAAAACAAAATGTTGATTGTCAGCTCAAAGCTACAGAAATAAGAAGAAGTTGATTAAGAGCTTTTCGTGTAAATTCTATAACTCTGCAAAGAAAGGTTGTGTAGAACTGGGGGATGTGTCATTTTAATCAGCAATTTGCGGGCTACAATCCTAACTCATTAAGAAAGGTTTTGGTTATTTTTTAAAGTTTCTGAAAACCGGGTCTTCAAGAGTCATAGGCCCGAATCCTTTTAAGGTATTTACTACCTCACTGAGGCTATCGATCCATGTACAAGTCAGTGGACTCGGAAGGGGCATCTCGGGACGTTCCCTCGTGAGCCGTTTTTAAAAAAACATCACATGAGCGAAATTAGCTAAAGCGTCACGTTTTCAGCTGTTTTGTAGCTGAGAGTTCACTGTAAAGTTCCACAATCTGTTGAAGATCATCCTATCTCTAGGACTTTTTAAAAACTAACCTCCAAGAGAAAAAAGGAGGAAAATACTCTAAATTTAATTATAATTTACAAACATAAACAGTTCATATCTAGCTCAAAATTCAACAAAGTCACTTGATGCGCTTACAAATGCTCTCTTTTACTTGACTTATTTGCTGATATTACTAGAAAGCAAAAAATTTTGTTTTCTTATCGTAAAGATTTTATAGAAAACCATCTACATATCAACTACAATAGAAAAAATCGAATTTTTAAGGGTTCACTTTCGAAAGCTTATATTTATTAGATATATTGTATATGTTAAAGGAGTATTCTTAAATCATAGAATTGAAAAATTTGTTTACTTCTGTTAATCAGCTCTTTCATAAACTCTTTTCCACGTACATTGATACGCTTTCACGTTAAAAACTCAATTGATTTTACCACTGATGCTGAAAATAGAGCATTTGGGATAAAAGATAGCACTTCATTTTTATCAATATTCATAATTGAAAATATCCTATTTACACTTTTCATCAATGTCGCATCAATTTTTTCACAAGTGCACTAACGGAACCCTTTAAAAGTCTTTTGGGATTTATCACTTGAATAATCCATTTTTCAAAAGTTTCTTTATATCAAATGATGTAGTAAGACACTGGCTGAGCGTCGGTGAAAACCGTAGCTCTCCATCTCTAATGTTAAAAAACAATGACCAGGTTTATTGCTTTTTTTTTTGAAGGATAGTTAATTTATTCCATCTTCTTGCTCTGTTAATTTGTGACATGATTTTTTTTTGTAAATTTGTCCAAATATCAAGATTCAGTTCAAACTTTTTCTATTTCAATGTTTTACTTCGAAAATTTCTAGAGAAATCTCCCCATGTTGTCAACGGGATAAGACATAAGCTGATGGAACAGAGTAATTTTATTTTTTCTGCTCTATGTGATGTTTGTTGTTTGTAAACTTTGAGTGCTTTTCACAGTTAGAGTGAAATCTGTGTACTCCATCGTAAAAATCGATGACCTTGTGTCACAGACTCAAATCCTAGAAGCACCATAAGTCATAGAAGAATTAAGAATAAAATTTTATCATATGAACTTAAAGAACACCCTTTTCTAGATGTTCAAACAGAAGAAAAAAAGCAGAAATATAAAGATGATATCTATTATCTATTATCTATTTCATATCCTTTTTTTATTCCCCCTCCTATAATAGCTTCCTTACATAAACACATTTTACTACTATTTTCATTCTCTCTTCTCTTTCTGTCTATAGCTCTTTTTTTTCCCGTTTTCTCTATTATACTACTCAGAGAAGAGAGAGCATTCATTGTAGTCTTATCTCTTGTCTAAAACAAAACATTTTGAATACACGGATGGGTTATTACTTTATAATGAGGTTCAATTATTATTTTTCTCTTCTTGCTTTTCCTCCCTCGAGTATTCGCTTAATCGAATTCAACCTATCTGAGTTGGATAACAAAAAAAAAAAAAAATCCTTAGCTTTAGAGATACAAAATCACACGGTTTTAAAATAATGGTCATAGGCAGAAAATATACAATTCAATTAGATGCATCTAATCTTTTATTTTGAAAGATACAAAATAAAATAAGAAGAGAGAGAGATGCTAGTGCATCAAATAGAAAAATGTTTTTGTACAAAAGATCTTTTTTTTTTTAAAGGTAAAATGAAATTTTGCAGAAAAATAGTTGTATTAATATTATTAGGGTCATTTATAAGATGAGAAATATATGCAATACTACAGAATGCAATCATATGATAGTGTATGAATTAATAAACGTGGAGACGATTATTAGTTAAACTTTTCTTAAAGCAATAGAAAATTAATACAAAGCAAATTGTTCACATTTCTTTTTTTACTGTTTTAAAGTTCATGAAACATAATAAAATACGAAAATATGAAATGTTATGTAGAGCTGAGGACTTCGGAGGTCCTATAAAATAATTTGAAGCGGCTAAGAAACGCGTTAAATATGAAAATTTCAACTGAACGATAAATGTTTAATTGAACGTATATATTTCATCTGAATGGCATCTGTCACTAAAAGTTCTCAAGATTATAATTAACTTGCAAAATGCGTTTAACAAGTTGAAGTATTCAAATATAGCATAATGACTATTATCGTCCATATGCCTGATATCTAGTCGAAAATATTATTTTTAAAAATGACAGAATGTAAAACAGTTTTTTTTTAATTTGAAAAAATAAACCAATGACTTATAACTATTAGATTCAAGGTAAAGTAGAAAAACACCTAGAACTAACTAATACATTCGGAACTTTCAAAAGAAATTTGATAAGGATTTTCTCTGATTAATCTAAGAAATATGTGTGATCCGGTATATAAATGAACTGAACATATTTAAAATGGAACTAGAGGCAATATTGTCTGTGAATAATGATAAAACAGATTTGTACTAAATATAGTTATTATCCTTGAATAAGACAATTTTTTTTGTTTTGTTATACAGTTTAGATAAATAAGTTCAAGAGATTGCATCGTTATCTGAAAATAATTGAAAAATTCGTTTCAGGAACTGCACTTTATAGAAATTATTTATTAGCAACAACAACAAATTCTTGTTCGTTCTTCCTTTTTCTCATTTCTAATGTTTTTCCGGATGTTTTCTGATCGTATACATCATTTTCTTCTTGTCTAAGTTTTAGAGCTAATAATAAAAATGAGAGAAAATCATAAAATATTAGTAAAAAATGCATATGATGTGATAAAATGGCATGTGATAACCGGATACATTTCACATACAGGCAAAGAATGAAGAGAAGAAAAAAAAGGGAAATAATGAAGTGCAATATATCTATAATATAATTTCGTAAGCAACAATTCTAAATGAGAAAATGAGTGTGTCAAACTATAGTGGTCTATGAGTGAAAAATATTACTTTGCACAATTTTTTTTAAAGTTTTTCTCTTGAAATATGTTTATTCGTGCGATTATTTTATGAAGTCTTTCGTGATTCTAAGAATAATCATTAAAATTAGATTTCCCTTAAAAACTTATATAACGCATATATATATATATATATATATAGAACTACGCTTGTATAAACGCATTAATTTTGAAATTTCTCTAAAATTCAAAATACCTATAGAATCTAATAACTATAATGATTATAAGATTAAGTTTCGTAACAGATGTGTAATAAAAGTAGCATAATGCAGTTGAAATAAATTCTCGCTATGAGAGACATAAGATTTTGTAATAGTAGTCTACTTGTAGGACATATAGTCTGTATTCTATACTCAAAGGATTAGAAAGACAAGGAATTTCGTCACATTTCTGAACTAAAATACTATTCATGTAATTTTAATATGTTCTATAATCTACTATGATTAATCTTCTGAAAAATACATTTAATCAGTGAATACTTCAGTGATATTTTTCTATCTAATTTCTGTACACAAAACAGTAGTTATTTTCTGAATTGTTAATTTGAGTCTATTTTTCTAAATGCTCTAACTAAATTAATAAATTTAGTGTCTTATATATTTACTTGTTAGAAAATTGGCAAAAAATGATTCTCTGATTTGATTAACTATTGATATCACTGATTGTCACCTCATGAATACCATGAACTATGAAATTCGGAAGTAGAATACAGATAGAAAACATATTCTTTGTTCTAAAATAAATTTTTCTCTCCACATAATCACATGTACAAATAGAAAAAAAAAAAGACTCTTCAAATGATATCCGGTCTCTAATAATCTAATGACATCCGGTACATCATTCTACACATAACATGCATTTTTAGACTTTATGACTGATTCGCTAAAATAATTTATCAAAAAATGAATATCTCAAGTTTAATCTTTCAAAAGTTCTTTAGACAAAATTTTTAGAGTAATGTAAATGGTTGTCCAACAGATTATTCTCACAACAGCTTAAAAATTTCGATATAAGGTATTATTGCAGGCGAGTTAATGTTGAAATGAGCAAAAAAAAATAAGATTACCAGAATGATAAAGACTATTTTAAAATGGGTGTGAAAAATAATGATTAATGAAATATAAAATTTTGAATTTTTACACGCGTATTAATCCGAAAGTTTGCTAATATTAGTTTTTGGTTCGAGTATAGTTTCAGTTTATCCTTATTATCGTAATAATTTTTCAGTACATTTGCAAAGATTTTCAATGGATGAAATATATTGCGGCATTTTTTCAACTAAAAGTCTCAATTAAACACGTTTTTAGTCAATAGTGTAGGAGAGAGAAATAAAACTAAACGCGTTTAAATCTGTTTTAAATAAAAACTAAAAATAACACGTTTTTTTTGAAACTTGATCCATTGAAAAATGTCGTAATAAGAAATGATACTTACACTAGCGTATGATAAATTCCGGCTTTGTATCCTCTTGGTCGTTCGAGAAAATTATACATTCTTGACTGTGTCCGTTTATAAGTGGGTGAACGACGTTGAATTGGATGTACAAGAATCGGTTTTCCTAATAGTGATACACGTTTTTCTAATAACAAACGACTGTCTTGTGCCGATAATCCGACTAATGGACGATATTTTAATGGAGATACATAAACGGGTTTAAAATCATTTGATGACGTCGTTGATTGAGCATAATCTCTCATATTGAAACAATCGGGTTTTAACAAATTATTGGGAGAATATGCAACTGATGATGGCAATGAAGTACAACTGTTGTGTAACTGTGAGTAAGAACTTGTAGTTAGACTTGAAAATTCACTAGAAATGATCGTTGGTTGTTCAACAAACGTAACACTTTGTTTGGATGATGGTTGAGATTTTGGTTCTTCCTTGTCTGCCGATGATTGATAATTGGACGAAGACTTTTTTAATAACCAAGCATTATCTTCATCTATTATTATTTTTCCTTTTTTAACTTTTTCTATTAGTTGTGGTGGCTGTTGCTGACGATGATGATTATAATAATAATGTTCTTCCCTTGTTTTTTCTCTTTTTTTTTTGCCGGTAGTATAATTTTTACCATTATGACGACTATTTGTTTGAACAAAAAATTGATCCTCGCCAATATGCTGTTGAATTTTATCCTGTTCATTGTTTTTTCTTTTTTTACCGTTCTCAAAATCATCTTCACTTTCTTCTTCAATATAATAATCAGAATCATCATTGACACTATCATCGTTGTTAGTAGAACCTTGCTGATGATTTTTTTCTTGTGACTGTTCTACAAAACGCGTTTTTCTCAATATTGAATGTGGAATTATCGTAGACGGATATTTTTTATTATTTGTTGAATCAATCGATAATAAACCTTTTGTTGACATTGTATCTACGTTTTTATCTAATAATCCTTTATTTTCATCTTGAATACTATTTGTGTCTTCTTCACGATCTTCAGTTAAATTAGCTAATACATCAGTTGAAGTAGATGATAAGTATTGTACAACACTAGTACTATAATTTTCTTCATGTTCTTCGTTGGTATGAGTTTTAGAATGAGACGACAAAGAATATGGTATTTGTTGTTTTTCTATTACTGAACGTGTTGCGACGATGGATTTGTTTTCTTCAGATGATAGATTTTTTTGATCTAATATAAAACTGACTCGCTGTTGCTGTTTTCTATTTATTTGTATCTTTTTAACGATTGGCGAAGCGTGTGGTGACTGAGAGGATGCTATAGAAGACGATGACGATGTCAATAAAACGTGTAACAGAGAAGAATCAACGTGTTCAGGTAAAGTAAAAGCTATATTTTCCACGGGGAATTGATCATCTTCTAATCGATCATCATTGTTACTCAACACGTACGATGTTTTTAATCCATCAGACTTTGCCATTTCGTGCCAATTTAATTATACTTCGTTTCCATTTGTTTTACATATCTACATATTAGAGAAGGAAAAAGTGATACGATTATTAACTAGTAGCAAGTATAAAAAAAAAAATTTGTTTAGGAGACTAACGGAAACCTGACGAGAGAGAATTAAGACAACTATTTCCGGGAGTAAAGATGTATTACTGTTGTTGAATGACTTATTGGAAACTTTGAAATTTTATGGCATTTATCTGTCAGAGTGTAATGTAACTGATTTTTTGTGAAACTTCGACTAGTCTATGGAGTGGACAACGTAACTTAACACTTTACTTGCTATTTGAGTTGACTATAGGGATTACCGAAAACGTTCTAAACTCATAAAGTGTAGAAGTTTTCGCATTCGAATTCTATTAGAGGTCGTCGTGGAACCGAGTTCCTATGGGACGAGACGAAATTTTTTCAAAGTATCTATGAGACGGATCGAGACCGAATGAACTAACTACATATAGGACGGAACAAAAGTTTTATTCCAAGGAATTCTTTTGCGTCAGATAGGAGGTTTTACTTTATTCTGTTAATGAATAGTTAATTTTTTTACTGCAAAAGTCTTATGATATATAAATATAGTATAACATAATGCGAGAAAACAGATCTTTACAGTTTCATATATCGAAACTTAAAAAACAAACGAATTCAGTTGTCTATATCAGAGATTCTACTCAGCAAGAAATCGTTTCGAAGACACACATTTAATGTGATCCCGTAGGATCTCATAGGATGAAAATTTTTCGAACGCTCATAAGACAGAATGGGACAAGATGAAAATTTTCTTCCGTAGAAGGAAGTATTCGTTTCATTCTGTGCCAGGAAGCTTCCTGAATATTATGACAATACTTTTATTTCAGAAGTTTATAATCTTTTCATAAGAAACATTTGGAAAGAGTATCTGCGCGTTACTGCAACAGATCTATTATCTTTTTACCATGTCAAAAATTCCATTTTTTTTAGTTAAAGTAAAATTCAGTTATTAGCTGTTGTGTAGCCAATAAATCTGTTAAGGAAGTGAAAAAAGCGCGTTCTGGATAAATCAGACATTTATTTCGTAGACAGATGTATAAAAGGAAGCAGTATCAGTGTAAGTGTAAGTTATGAGTTGAGATTAGGAAACTACGAAAATTTTAAACCCACATTCATACTTTATCCTAGTTTTTCTTGTACATAGACATTTAAGTTTCTATTAATAAGATTACTGCTCCTCGGTTACATACGTACATTGTAAAGATTCAGATATAGATCCATAAAATTTATTCATTTCTACACATATACTTGCTGAAATGAAGAATATGGGCTATTTTGAATACTAGCACTTGATCTTGCAAGCTGTCGCTCGCTACTTAGGCGAAGATGTTGTCAAAAATGCTAAAAAGAACAACAATTAAAGGGAACCATATTTCGAGAGAAGGGGCCTTTTTTTGTACAAAGAGTGACAAGACAAAATGCATTATTTGTCGTTATGATGTCATATAGAAAATCATCTTTTTTTCTTATCATATACTTTTACATTCTTCGTTTCCCTTTTCCTATTACTATCGCAAAATATTACAAATGAGCGCCAATATCTATTGTTAAACAAAAAACTAATAAATGATCAATTCAAACAGAATTTTTTACTCATATGTCGTACGAATACTCTTAAGAACTTCATAAAGTTCGTCGTACAAGTTAAAAGTCGTATTCATTCAAATTTTAAATAAAATTTTTTGCTCGAGAACCCAAAATGTGAAGTTGAAGTTATAAAGAGTGTTGTATCAAGATTGTACATTCAATTAGAGAAAAATCCGTGTATTATCACGGTTTATTTTGTGGTTTTGTAGAGTACAGACAATAATTTTTAAGAGCAAACTTCTCTACATCAAAACTATTCTCCTACGTCTGAATATTTCGTTCTATTGATGATTATATATTCGCAATAATAGAAGTCAGTCATATATGGTTCGCTAAACAAATATTCATATTTATTGATCGTATCACGTCCATATGGTACAAATTATCGAAATAAAACATAACAAAAGGCTAAAAAATGTGTTGAAGACAGTTAGAAAAAAAATCTGACAAATGACTTTTGGAGATAAATTTCAAATGTGAGATTGCTCTCCTTAGTGGCTAACACCTGGTAATCCTAGATATCATCCACGTGCGCTATTTAATCTACGCATGATGAGACTTCTATCATACTTGTTTATGTCGGAGTTCCACCATTAGACTCAAAGGGAACTACACTAACGAGGGAATATTTCCAACTGACCAACTCCGATTTTTTTCAAACCTATGTCGATCGATAGCCCACATCGAGACAGTAAAAAGTCTAAAAGAATTCGGGCCCATGACTCTTGAAGACCCGATTTTCTGGAAAACCAGTTTTTCAACTCTAAAAACCTTTTCTTAATGATGCATATATGATTGTAGCCCGCAAATTGCTGATTTAAATAACAACTCTCCCAGTTCTACACGACCTTCCTTTGCAAAGTTATAGAATTTACAAGAAAAAAACTAAATGTTCATTGTCAGCTCAAAGCTACAGAAATAAGAAGAAATTAATTTAGAGCTTTTCGTGTAAATTCTATAACTTTGCAGCGAAAGGTTGTGTAGAACTGGGAGATGTCTCATTTTAATCAGAAATGTACGGGCTATAATCATGCATCATTAAGAAAAGATTTTGATTATTTTTTAGAATTTCTGAAAAACTGGATTTCCAGAGAACCGGATCTTCAAGGCTCATGAGTCCGAATCCTTTTAGGCTTTTTACTGTCTCGATGTGGGCTATCGATTGACACAGGTTTGAAAAAAATCGGAGTTGGTCTCGTTACCTCGTAAGAAGCTCCTTCATTGCTTTTAAAAAAAAAATAGACGATTATCGCGGACATTTGACGAAAAATTAAAGGTGCGCTTTTTACAAATTCAGTTAGAGGTTGATAAACTTCGATATTAGGCTATTTATTGCCGGAAAGCTTCACTTTAGTAATGATTCGTATGCGATACTGAGTGACGTCCACTCTTTCTCCATGCTAAATACGTAAGAGAACAGTCTTGATGTAGAGAAGTCTGCTCTTAAAAAATTATTGTCTGTACTCTATAAAACCACAAAATAAACCGTGATAATATACGGATTTTTCTCTAGTTGAATGTACAATCTTGATACAACACTCTTTATAACTTCAACTTCACACTTTCGTTTCTCAAGCTGAAACTGTTGTTTAAAATTTGAATGAATACGACTTTTAACTTCCTGTTAAACACAGAATTAAAAAGAATCGGTGAACTTCGGGGTGCTGAACGTTTGGTGCTTGTTTCGAAATTTTTTCGACTATCACATACAACAATAAGCCCATGCCGCTTTAGTTCGACGTATCACTTTTTAGTACAAACTTTATTCAAAGTTGATCGATAAACGAAAGGCTTCGAGATGAGCATTCGAGCAGAAGTTTTGTACCGAGCCATGGCCCGATGAGTGTGCACTCTATTACTAGTTGCGAAAAAGTCGGTGTACCAAGAACTTTCCAAAAAACCGACATATTAAACTTATAAATTATTATTCTCATATGATAACATTATTAGTTGTAAACTATATCTCGGCTTAAACGCGCGTGACGGAATTACATTTTTTCAACTTTTGGGCTCTGTTTCTCCTCAAATACTGAACAAAAGATGACGAAATTTTTATCAGAGATGTGCGGTAGAATGCTTGGTTTGTGGTAAAAATTTCGAATGCGTCGGTTAAGTAGAACGATTTTTATGAGCAAAATAAGTGTTGTGACGGAATTACATTTTTTAGCCTTTTTTTTCTAGTGCTCTACAAACTTTGAAAAATGCTCTAAAATGAAACATATTCAGAAAAAAAGTCTAATATAAAAGTTGTAGAGTATGAAAAGAGCTTTCGAATCATCTCTTTACTTTCACTCAAAAATGCTTAAATGAAAAGAAACAAGCGAAATGGCTCCGTGACGGAATTACATGTCGTGA